AGAGAAAATTTAGCTTAATCTCTGTTTTAAATGGGCACTCCTGATTTTTTAAACAGTGAGCCCTAATTCTAGATTCTCCCATTAGACAAACCATCCTTTCAAGTCTAACCTGTTAAGACCCATCTGGATTTTATATGTTTCAATCAAGTCGCCTCTTAAACTTCTAAACTCGAGCAGATACAAACCTAATCATTCCAGGTATTAGTCTAGTAAACCTTACTTGAACTGCTGTCAACGCATGGACATCTTTCCAGATGAGATCTCACAAGTGCCCTTATAACTGAAATATAAACTCCGTAATTTTGTATTCTGATCCCCTCACAATAAATGATAACCTTGCACTAATTTTATGCATTAATGCACGAGGACACCCAGAACCCTCTACATCTCAGCTTTGCAATCTCACTATTTAGATAATGATTCTTTTTTATTCTTCCTGCCAAAATGGGCAATTTCACAGTTTCCCATGTTATGCTCTATTTTCCCCCTTAATTAACCTGTAAATATCTTTTTATATCCTCCTTGTGTCCTCTTCACTAATTACTTTCCTACCTATCTTTGTGTTGTGAGCAAATTAAGCAGACGTACCTTCAGTCCTTTCACCTAGGTTATTTACATAAATTGCAAACAGTTGAGCCCATCAATGATCTCTGTGGCATACCACTCATTACATTTTGCCAACCTGAAAAAAACCTATTCACACCTACTCTTTGCTTCCTGTTAGCCAGCCATTCCTCTGTCCATGCCACTATGCTACTTCCTACACTGTGAGCTTTTATTTTCTACAATGATCTTGACGTGACACCTTATTTTTAAACCAGCTTATGATGAAGAAAGTGCTTTTGCCCTTTAATCATTGGTCCATAATAATTATTCCTAAATATTAGCCCACCATCTCATGATCATTTTTATAGACCACTTAAACAAGCGGATGGGATTTCAGTTTAACATCACATTTGATGTGCAGCACTGCAAATAAAGCTGTGCTTTGTTGGTGAGGAAAGGAGTGTTAGCGAGTAGTACTGTAGACCAGGTTAAATTAAACTAACAATATATCTCTTCAATATAAAATTTAAGTTAAAAAAGTCTGATGCTTTAGCAACTGTTTTCTTGGAAACAATGTAGATATTTGTAACTTAGCCCCAACCATATGTTATTGAGTATTAGAGCTCTGCTATATCTTGCATAAAGTCTTATTTAGCGATTGGAGTAATGGCACATTTTCTTCTCTGAAGCACTTTGCGTTAACCTTGAATATTCGGTGACCTTGTCTTGTACTGTTCGCAGCAAAGACAGGTTTTCCAGCATGGAAGTTATTGGTCAGTTCAACTTGGGATTTATCATCACTAAGCTGGATTCAGACCTGTTCATTGTGGACCAGCATGCCACTGATGAGAAGTACAATTTTGAAATGCTGCAGCAGCACACAGTTCTTCAAAGTCAAAAGCTAATAGTGTAAGATTTACTTTTTGTTGTTTGTTATTTTTGTTATCTGAAAGAAATCATTAATTATTTTGTAAAATGCACTTCTCACTAAAACTTATAGTCACAGGGGGAGAAACAGTTGGAACTTTCTCCTCAGGTGGCTGACAAGCTTGAGATCAATACCTTTTGCTAGGATTACGGGCCAAGGTTGAAGTGCAGACCAGCCATTACCTAACTGAATGGTGGAATAGACTTCAGAAGCTGAAGCCACAAAGACGTGGCTGCAGGATGGCAAAAAATAGGACATAGAGTTGTAACAATCGCTGGAAAGTTTCAAAACAGAAATTGAATGGACAGACTGCCTGGCACCAACCTAGCAACAGAAGCAACAATGGCAAACTCAGCCCAGTTGACCTGAAAAGTCGTCCTTCCTAATATCAAGGAGCTAGTGCCAAAATTGGAAGAGCTGTATCACAGAACATTCATGCAACAGCCTCATATAGCCGTATTTGCAGAACCATACCACACAGGCAATGTACCACACATTGCCATCGCTATCCCTGGGTATATCCTGTCCCACCAGCTGACCAAACCCAGCAGAAGTTGCAGCACAGTGGTGTCCAGTCGGGAAGGACTTGGCCTGGGAGTTCTCAATGTTGACCCTAACCACCAAGGTGGGGGTGAAGCTCCTGTCTTCATACTGAAATGACCTCATGTTGCGTGGCACTATCACTGTGCTAACTAGGATAGACTTCAAACAGATCTAATAACTCAAGACTAGACATCCTTAAGGTGTTGTGTGCAATGAGCAGCAACAGAATTGTAATGCAACAAAACATCATAGCCCAGCATCCCCCACTGTACATTAAGCCAAGGGATCAACCCTGGTTCAGTGGAGAGTGTAGAAGGACATACCAGGAACAACGCCAGGCATATCTGAAAATGAAGTGCCAAGCTGTTGAAGGTACCAAACAGGACTTCCAGCATGCCAGACAGCTTAAACAGCAAGTGATAGACAGACCTAAGTGATTTCACAGCCAAGGGATCAGGTATAAGCTCTGCAGATTTGCCATAGTGAATGGTGGTCAACAATGAAACAGCTCACTGACGGAGGAGGTTCCACAAACAATTCCCACCTTCACCGAGTGGGGAGGCCAACATATCAGTTGGAATGATAAGGCTGAAGCATTTGCAACAATCTTCAGCCTGAAGTGCTGTGTAGATGACCCATCTCGGCCTCCTCTAAGGATGCCAGCATTACAGATGCCAGTTTTCAGCCAATTTGATTCCTCTAGAAGATATCAAGAAATGACTGTAGCACTGGATAGGCTTTAGGTCCTGACAACATTTCCAGTAACTACTGAAACATGCCCCAGAACCTGCAGCATGCTTAGCCAAGATGTTCCAGTACAGCTACAACACTGGCATCTACACAACAATGTAGAAAATTGCCAAGGCCAAATCCAACCTGGCCAATTATCGGCCAATCGGTCTACTCTTGATCATCAGTAAAGTGATGGACAGTGTAATCATCAGTTCTGTCAAGCAGCACTTCCTGAGCAATAACTTGCTCACTAACACCCAGTTTGTGTTCCACCAGGTCCCCTCATCTCCTGACCTCATTACAGCCTTGGTTTAAACATGAAAAAAAGAGCTGAATTCAAGAGATGGAGAAAGTGACTACCCTTGACATCATGGCCATATTTGACCAAGTGTGGTATCAAGGTGCCCTAGCAAGATGGGATTTGGAAAAAAAACTCTTCGCTGTTTGGAGTCATACCTGGCACTGACAAAGATAGTTGTAGTTTTTGAATGTTAGTCATCTCAGTTCCCAGGAGTTGCTCAGTGTAGTGTCCTCAGCCGAACAATTTAAATCTGCTTCATCAATAATCTTCCCTCCAGAAGTGGGGATGTTTACCGATGATTGCATAATGTTCAGCACCATTTGCGACTCCTCAGATACTGAAGCAGTCCATATCTGAATGCAGCAAGACCTGGGCAACATTTAGGTTCGGGCTGAAAAGTGGCAAGTAATGTTTATGCCACACAAATGCCAAGCTATGATCATCCCTGACAAGAGAGAATCTAATGATTGTCTCTTGACATTCAGTGGTGTTACCATCACTGAATCACCAATTATCAACATCCTAAGAGTTACCATTCAGAAACTGAATAGGACAAGCCACTGTAAATATTGTGGCTATAAGACCAAGTAGAAAGCTAGGGATACTGCGGTGAGTAACTCACCTGACTCCTTAAAGCCTATCCACAAGGCATAAATCAGGCCTGTAGTAGAATACGTCTCACTTGCCTGGATGAATGCACCTCAAACCAAACTCAAGAAGCATGATACCATCCAGGACAAAGCAGCAACCTTCCCTTTCCATTCATTCTGTTCACCATTGACATTCAGCAGCAACACTCACAAGATGCGCTGCAGAAATTCACTGAGGTTCTTTGGATAGCACCTTCCAAACCCACAACCACTTTCATGTTGAAGGACAAGGGAAGCAGGTACATGGGAACACCGACATCTGCAAGATCCCCTCCAAGCCACTCACCATCTAGAAATATATTTGTGTTGCTGGGTCAAAATCCTGGAACACTCAGCTTGGTGGCATTGTGGGTCTATCTACAGCAGCAGTTCAAGAAAGCAGCTCACCACTATCTTTTCCAAGGGCAACTAGGAATGGGCAAAAAGTGCTACACCAGCCAGTGAAGCCCACATCCCATGATGCTGCTACTACACAGTAGCAGAATGAATGATGCTTGTCAACTGCACAATGCTGCCATTGATCCAAAAAGCCTTTTGCCTAACACAAACGATTAATGTGGTGTATGAATTTCAGTGCTGGTGTGATGCCAAGTATGTCCCAAAGACTGATGGATCGTATTAAACAGCATGCTCATTTGGCTGTTTGTAACAGGCGAGGTATTGATCATAATCATCCCCGGCTTGCAATACTCCCAACACAGTTGCTAACATTAGATGCAATTCAGCAACTGAACAACATTTGCTGGATAATCCTGAACATGAAAAGAGTTACACTGACAACCAATTTTGAATTATCAGTCTGGACCTCTGTGTGGCGTACTTGCATGTGCTGGAGGTTATATATACACAGGGCCCTGTTCTTTACAGATAGAAAGAACATGTACATGCACTGCACCTGTTTCAAATTGTCAATTCTCAGTTGACCTGACAGATTCAACTTGCTTGGTTTGAAATTTTAACAAAGCCTGGGTTTTAATTGTTAATCAGCATTAATGGGTGCATTTTCCATGTTGATGTTTCTGCCATTCAGCGTTTTCTTGCCAACCCATCAACATTATCCTCTGTCATCCAATGTACATGTTGGTTTTCATCTTAAATTAGTATCCTTGTGAAATGTTCCAGTGAGTGCATCGTGGAAAGCCTAGACGAAGTGTCCTTTTCTAGAAATGTATTAACCAATTTGTTGAAGTTTTTCAATAAAGTAACACACGTTGTGGGTAAGGGCAAATCAATTAATGTACTGTACTTGGATTTCCAGAAGACATTTAAGGTACCACATCAAAGGCTTTTGCAGAAAATGAGAGCTCATGGGGTCATGGATAGAAGATTGGCTAGTTGACAGAAAACAGTGTAGAGGTAGAGATCATTGCTCAGGCCTCGATCTTCTACATTTCTTTTAAATTACATGAATGAAAGGACTAAATACCTGATTGCCAAATCAGCTGTTGACACAAAGTAAGTTATGAGGAGACATAAAGAGGCTACAAAAGGATGGTGATAGGTTGTGATTGGGCAAGGATCTAGCAGATGGACTATAATATGGGAGCATGTGAAATTGTCCATTTTGGCTGAAAAAATCAAATAATAGCGTAATTCAGAAATGGTGAGAGATTGCTAAATCTTGCGATGCAGAGGGATCATGATGCCCTTGTGCATGAATCACAAACGATGAGTGTGCAGGTACAGCAAGTAATTAATAAAGCTAATAGAATGTTATTGATCATTGCAGGGCAATTGAATACAGTAGTTGGGGAGGTTTCAGTTATATGGGGCACTGGTGAGATAACATCTGGAGTACTGCATCTAGCATTATCCACTTATTTAAGGAAGAATGCAAATGCATTGGAAGCAGTTCAGAGAAGGTTTACAAAACTTAATACTTGGAATGGGTGAATTGACTTCTGAGGAAAAGTTGAAGATTAGAGTTTAGAGTGAGCGGTGACTTAATTGAAACATGCAATATTCTGAGGGGTCTTCACGAGGTGGGTGTGGAAAAGATGTTACCCCCTGTGTGAAAATCGAGAACTAGTGTCACTATTTAAAGTAAGTGGTTGTCTATTTAAGATTAACTTGGGAAATTTTTCTCAGAGGATTGAGAGTCTTTGGAAATCTTCCTTAAAGGATGGTAGAATCAGAATCTTTGAATATTATTAAGACGGAGGTAGACAGATTCTTAATAAGGAAGGGAGTGAAAGGTTTACAGGGGAGAAGTTGGGAACGTAGGGTAAACCAATCAGACTTGCTGAATGGCATAGCAGGCTTAAAGGGCCAAGATGTAAGGTGCACTGCAGAAATTCACCAAGACTCCTTTATACAGCACCTTTTAAACCCATGACCACTATTATCTCGATGGACAAAGGCAACAGATACATGGGAGCACCATTACCTGCAAGTACCCCTCAAAGTTACTCATCATCCTGACTTGGAAATATATCGCTGTTCCTTCAGTGCCTTTGGGTCAAAATCCTGGAACTCCCTCCGTAAAGGCATTGTGGGTGTACCTATAGCAGTGGTTCAAGAAGACAACTCGCCACTGCTATATCAAGGACAACTAGGGATCTGCAATAAATGCTGGTCCAGTCAGTATTGCCCACATCGTTATGACCTAAAAGTGAATAGAATAATTGGATACATTATATTTAAATTTAATCTGGGAGGTTAATTGCCCATAACTGTCTTTTGCTATGCACAATCTATAAACATTTCTGTCATCCTGTTACAGATGAATTCTGAAAATGGAATTTAAGTTGGACTTGATCCTATTTCTTTTTTTAAAGAATATATTCTTCTCCATTCATATAGTTAAATATTGTTTTTAACTTCTAGGCCCCAGAGTCTTCATTTAACTGCAGTGAATGAAACTGTACTGATGGAAAACTTGGACATTTTCAGAAAGAATGGGTTTGATTTTATTATAAATGAAGAAGGTTGGTTTATCTCCTTGTATTTAAAACACCAGACATAAATATCCTTGAACAAAGTTAAGTTGAGGTCAATAACTGGTTTTGTTCAATACCTGCTTATAGAATGTGTTTTTGTTTTGTTTTGCCCATGGTGGTTTTCAATAAAGCCGCTCCCACAGATAGAGTGAAGTTGGTTTCCTTGCCCATGAGCAAGAACTGGACATTTGGTCCTCAGGATATCGATGAGCTGATTTTCATGCTGAGCGACATGCCCGGTGTGATGTGTCGGCCATCCAGAGTCCGGCAGATGTTTGCTTCCAGAGCTTGTAGAAAGTCGGTAAGTGTTCCTCAGAGCATTTCTAATAAAGTGCATTTAATGATCATCACTAATTTATTGTGTTATAAACCATGAAATTGTATTATAAATCTTAAGTGAAACTGAGCACCTAAGAAAAGGACACCACTGTATTTGTGCCCCTATTAAATCGAATTCCCCTGCTGTGTAATGCTGTCAATTTCACAGAAAATGGCCCCTAGGAGTCCGAAGTAAACTCCCCTTATGGTGATCACCTACATAACTGTGAGCTGCATTTGACCAATGTTTGAAGTTCAAATCTTTACGAAGAGTATTCAATCATTAGAAGAGCTACTTATCCCAAGAGATTCTTCCCCAATACTCAGAAATTCAGCTCTGTGCATGTTGGGCTTTGCTTTCCTTACTGCATGTAGCTGTTGACGTCTCCCTTAAATTTTTACCCAGCTCTCACAGTTAATTAGAGTGCATGGACCATATGCCATAATATTCAGCCATACAAAATGACTCAGATTTGATCAGCTTTGGTTCAGTTGATAAGCAACAATGAACTTAAATTCCCTTTAACAAGACCAGGAAGGAACCATCTAAGCTTTTTTTCATGATTGTTATTTAATGATTCCTGTTGTAAAGCATAGTAGGTAAAGAGATCAGAAGCAGAATAAACGGTGATGACCCCAGCAGCATAATAATCTTATCAGCACTCATTATTTTGGCTTTCTATTAAGGAATAAGCAGTAGGATTAGATATTGAGGGGACCACTGGCATAAACTGAAGTAAGGAGGTTGAAGGCAGTACTGTTGTGCCTTATATTGTGCAACTTTTTTTTCCACCCCCCAGGTGATGATTGGGACTGCGCTTCATATCAGTGAGATGAAGAAGTTGGTTACACACATGGGTGAAATAGAGCATCCCTGGAACTGCCCACATGGGCGGCCAACCATGAGGCATCTAGCAAATTTAGACATGATATCGGTGGAATGAATGGCTATATTCATCCCATGTATATTATACTATAATCATGGAATGTTATATTTCTTGAAAAGCTTTCATTTTAAAACGTAATCATCAATGCTTTGTAAATGCCATCTTTTTGGAATGCTGTATGAGCTTAACTGCAATTTTAATCAGTATTTTAGTTGTGGAAATTACTTCTGTGAATTTAATTTCATTTCCATTTATTATTTAAAAAATTATATATCTCTGTTTAGTAAACAATTTGTTTCTTGTATTTGTGCCTAGAATGTGACTTTTGTATGCCAAAAAATTCTGCATTCCTCAATGCCTCAAAGACCTGCATTTCTGGAACTGGCTTTGTGAGCCAATCCTATGTCCATTGCTTTCTCTGAGCAAATCAAAACATATTTCAATCTGCATAATGCTAGAATCAAAGTATTTGCTTGGGTTAGTTAGCCTGTTTTTCTTTCTTTCTAGTGTAAAATCTTGCAGTTATGCTGTAATAATGAATCATCAGCTGGACTCAGTTCGTGGCTTTCTTGTCTGAGTCATAAGGTTGTGGGTTCAAATTCCACACCAAAGCATTGAGCAAAAATGTTCTAGGCAAACACTGCATTTGATTACTGAAGGAATGCTGCACTGTTGGAGGTGCTATCTTCCAAATGAGACATTAAAGGAAGGCCCTGTCGGTTTTTTCAGTTGGATGCAGAGGATCTTGTAATACTATTTTGAAGAGGTGGGAGAGGTGATCTCAGCTTCATGGCCAATTTTTATCCCTCTGTCGTCACTGAAACAGATTGTCTAATCATTATCCAGTTGCAGTTTGTGGCAGATGGCTGTATTGAAATTTTTTGTTACCTTTTCTAAATTACAACAGTGACTGCACTTCCAGAATACTTCATTCTGATGTGTTTTGGGATGTTTTGAAGACGGTGTATTAATGCAAGTTTTTTATCTTAAGTATAGATGATCTTTTGGAGTTTCTAATATTTGCAAGTTGGTGTAAGACAATGCTGCTTACACATGTAAAGGAATGCTAGGGAATTCTAGCTAGTCCTTCCAGCCTGTACTATCATGGTGTAATTTTTGAGCATAATGCCTACTTGTTCTCCATTCTCACACTGGGACATCCTGTCTCCCAGACGAAATGTCCTGAGTTAATTTAGAAAAAAAGTGTTTGGAAAATTTCTGTCTACCCTCAGTCAATTAAACAAGTTCAAACGGGGAAATGATCATTAATTAATTAAGCAGTCCGGTTATACTTTTGTAGCTTGAAATATAACCAGTACAAAAATATTTTAAACTAAGCTCTGAATTAAAGCATAATGTTTTGCATCCATCTTGTTTTTACTCCTTACTGAGGGACAATTCTATAGCCATGGATAGTCTTTTATTACTAGCTTCCTATATAGCCATTCCTCATTGCAGTCTCAATGGTTCATTTTTGGGAAGCTGGTTAAGCATGGTGGCAAGCTAGTTTAATAACTATCATAGGAAAAAATGCTGAAATCTTATAAAGGAGGTTATAACAGGGCACTTAGAGAGTCCCAATTCATCAGGCAGGGTAAACAAGATGATTTGATGACAGGGAAATTGTATCTGATTGTTATAATTAATTGAGAACTAACAAGCAACAGAAATAAAGGGGATCCTGTGGAGGTGGTATACTTCGATTTCTAAAAAGAGTTTGACAAAGTGCCGCACCAAAGGTCATAGCACAAAATAAGTCAGCTTATGATGTAGGCAGTAAGAAATTAGCATGAGTATAACAGGAAGCAAAGAGGGGTTTAAATGGATTATTATCAATTTTGCCAGTGATATGCCACAAGGATCAGTGTTGGAGTTTCAACTATTTATAATTTTTATCAAGGACAAGGAACTGAATATGTGGTTGCAAAATTTGCTGATGACACTAAGATAGGAAAGAAAAGAAAAATAGCACTTTATTTAACGGGAGAGAGATTGCAACACTCAGGATCCCATACATCAATCACACAATGTCAGTATGCAGGTACAGCAAGTGATTAGGAAAAGATATTGTTGTATATTGCAAGATGAATGGAATATAAACGTGGGAATGTTTTGCAATAGTTGTACAGGATGTTGGTTAGACTACATCTAGAGTACCATGTACAATTTTTATCTCCTTATCTAAAAAAGGACACAATTGCATTTTGAAAACTGAAAGAATTGCGGATGCCGTCAATCAGAACACTAAGGAAGGGTCATCGGACATGAAATGTTAACTCTGATTTCACAGATGCTACCAACATGCTGAGCTTTTCCACCAAGGATCATAGAGACTTAGGTGTGCATGTCCACTGATCTGTTCAGGTAGTGGGTCAGGTGGATAAAGTGGTTATGAACTCGTGTGGTATACTTTCCCTTATTAGCCAAGGAATAGGGATGTTATGCTGGAAGTGTCTAAAATGTTGGTTAGACCAAGCTAAAGAACTGTGTATAGTTCTGGAATCCACGTCATGGGAGGGATGTGATTACACTGCAGAGAGTGCTGAGGAAAATTTACCAGGATGTTGCCTGGACTGGAGAGTTTTAGTTATGAAGAGAGATTGGATAGATGGGGGTTGTTTTTCTTGGAGTAGGGGAGACTGAAAGGGAATGTAATTGAGGGGCATAGATAGAGTGGTCCCATTGGTGGAGGAATCAGTGAGCAAGGGGTATAAATTCAAGGTAAGGGGCAGGACGTTTAAGAAGGATGTGGGGAAAAATGTTTTCACCCAGAGGATGGTGGGAATCTGGAACTCACTACCTGTAAGGATACCTATAAGGCACTGTAACAATTAAGAAGTATTCAGATGTGGCTTTGTGATGGCAAGGTACACATGTTATGCGCCAAGCGCTGGAAAATAGAATAGCTCGTTGTTTGTTTTTGATTGGTGCAGACTGGATGGGCCGATGGTTTTCTTCTGAGCTGTAGACCTCTATGAGTTTATAATATGTAGTGAAAATGATTGCAGATATAGGAAGATAAAAACACATTCTTGCTTCAAATAAATAGTCTGGAGGTTGCACAACAGGTGACAATACATCAAGTACATGTTTTGAATTCTAAAGCGCGTTTTGGAGCATTTGTTTATGAGTCTTGTGGTGACCTGCCACCCATTTGTGCGCAGGCGCACGGAATTGCCTAGGTAACCGCGGAGCCACGTTGCTAGGGGCGATGGCAAGATGGTGAAAGGAGCAGACAGGAAGAAGAAGAAAGGGAAGGAGGAAAAGGAGAAAGAAAAGGACAAAGAAAAACTAACGAAGTTGAAGTCCTCCGAATTGGCAGAGGAGGTCCTGTCAGAAGCGGAGCCGGTGCATTCCGAAGGAAATCTGACGTGTCGGATGGTGTCGGAACATCAGGATGAAACCACTCCAGACATGTCCGAGGGCTCCGAGCGCCATGGCCAGACGCAGGAAACCTCGGCGGTTTTCTATGAGGAGCCTATCCTGACCAAGTTAATAATAGAGAGGTGCGGCCCTGAATGGTGTTTGACAGCTCGATCACTAGCTGACACTAAATGAGCCATGTCTCCACACTTACTACTGACCAGTTACTGAACCCTATCTACCTACCTTCACTATCAGTCTCTGATTCTGGATTGAACCTGCATCCTACTGCTACATCAAATCTCCACTCCAGTTCTAAATTTAAGGACTGACCAACCTTAAACCCTTCTGCTAACCAGAATCTTAATCTGAACTCTAAAGCAAACTACTTAACCAGAACTTCAACACCTACTACTGACCTTAACCCCAATCCCTCGTCCAAATCTTAATCTGAATTCTAACTCTATCTCTTTTGTTGCGTGTTTAATGCCCATAATCATGAGTTTGGTCAAGGAGAAGGCAGTCTTCAGGAGAACAGTTTTCAGGCTTAGACTTCTTTATAACATTTTATTACATACGAGTACTAAATATTACAATTCATGGTATCCAGAGATATACGAGGCTCTTACTGTTACAGGATAGAAAGACTATTCCATAAATTCTTCTACCTAATGCTAGATGGTCTACTTACATATTTTTCTACAAGTGTTTCAAACATGCACATGGATAGACTTCAAGCTTCTGCCTAGCTCTCCTGGTGCTTCTCCTTTTTTTTCCCCCTAACTTTGCCTACACTTTACATCTAATGAAGAAGAACTCAGTGAGATCATCAGAGTGTTGCTCGAGCCCTTACAGAAAACCCCTCCTAAGCTTTTTTCTCCCACCTTAAATTTTGATTAATATTTATATACATTCTCAAAGTTGCCCAGATTACATTTTTTTACAATATCTAATGCATATTTTTCCTTATCGCTCCCACCTCTCTCCAAATCTTTGACTTGTTTCATTTGTGTCATTAGATGGGTCAGGAAAGTCTATGACAAGGTTAAAAAATAGCTGAGGTAAAGTTAGTAAGCCTTTTTTTCTCTCTGCTGACTTCTGTTAGATCAGCAGTGCTCACTGAAGGGTCTTGCATTGATATAACTGCAGGAATGCATGGAAAAGTTGGGTTGTTTCTTCTTCTCCATCATTAACATCTAGATAAAATAATATTGTTAATTCTTCATGAAAGGAGTGAAGTCATTCATCCATTGATGCTTATTTCCTATAAATAAAAACTAGTGGCATTAACCTATTCTTCAAGGTTCTGTTCCAAGGCATGAATATACATGTTGGCATACAAATTATTTGGTTTGATGCTTGTTATATTCTTTAGACTATAGCAAGTTTTTGAGAAATTACCTCTTTGCCTACAAAGAATATACTATTGGTGTAACAATGGGCAGTTTGTCTTTGCTGATGTGGGTTTTGGAACCACACCTGTGACAAGATATTATAGCATTGTATTGCCTAGGACATTGAATTGATGTTCTCACATATGGTATACTTTTTGGATGAGAGGTTGTCTCCGCTAGTTGCATACTCTATCATGTTTAAAATATATAATACTCTCTATAGAATGTTCTGCATTAAATTGAACTTTTACTTTTTAATGTTTCTTGAACATTTTCCAGACTCTGTATCTACTGTTATTTGAACGGCTAGTTGTAAATTTGAATCATCTTTTGATTGAAGAAATTCAGTAACTGATTTATCTGAGAGACCAATAACTACTCTGTTGCAAATGAGCTCTTGTTGCAAATTTCCATAATGGCATGGTTCAGATTAGCTTCATTAATAGCCTGCATATACTTCTGTAAACTGTTCTGGGAGTTGGTATCTGCTACTGAAGCATGATCCTGTGTCCTATCTATTTTTGAGGTAAAATATAAATCAAAGATTATCAGGAAGTTGTCGAACAGATGTTTCTCATCAATCTATTGTCTATGTAATATGTGATCTAGGGCCCTCTTGTGGCACAGTGGTTATTCTCTCTACCCATTGACTGAAAGACTTGGGTTTAAGACCCACCTGTTTCAGAGGTGTGTAGTTAAATCTTTGAACAGGTTGATTAGATATTAGGTAAAATTTTAAAAAGTACCACATGATCTTATTTTTTTCCCCATATAGTAGAGCGGTATGCTAACCTGTTCTGCATTTGATTTGGTGCCTAATCTTGAAGCTGTTTGAAATCTTGGGAATTGTACTTTCCATATTTGCTGATTTATCAAGTGGATCTGAAATTTTTTTTTCAGTCTTCTACAAACAATTTCAAATCTGTTTATTGATCTTCATTGTTGTCATGATTTTCTAGGATCCTGTCACTGCTACCACCTTTTTATTGTGTGGCCTTATGCCCAAATCCATGAGTTTGGGTTCAAGGCAGGCCAGTCGAGGAGAAGGCAAGGTCAAGAACTGTCTTCAGTCTTAGGCTTCTTTATAGCACTGTTAATTACTACTAAGACAGAAAGCAGAATTTTCCCAAGCCCCAAATAACTGGCAGGCAAGGCCTTTGTCAATGTTGGGAGCATCAAGTTGCATTTTCCAACTGATTTCCAGATATCACAACAAGATTATCACTAGTGAACAGTATGAGACTGATTAATGGGGATTACTGCTCATTATCACTCATTGTTCCTTTAAAAAAAAGCATCGGTTGAAAGACTGTGGCACAAGCTGTTTGTGATAGTGGGAGGTGGCAGAAAGTTGGTGAAATCTCTTGATTGAATGAGTAGGCAGTGCAGAGAGCATACAGTATTAATTATGTGGGGAGACTGCGTGGGTAACAGGGAATTAGGGAAGATATTGCATGCAACAGTGAGAATGGTAGAGTGTGAGCCTTGGTGAGTGGTAAATGTAGTGACAGAAACAGAATAGATAGAGTGAGGTAACAGAGAAGGTGGTAACACTTACCCTGGCAGATCAGAGAAAGTCCTTGACCTTTTTCTACACTAACCCAGGTGTAACCCAGGCTGGCAAGGTCTGATGGCATAGCAGACTTCTGCTGGTCGTCTAGGACTAATTCCTTTTTGCTTCTCTACAGTCTATGCACTAATTACAAATATAGTCACCAAATTCCTTAACAAACATCACTCTAAGCCAGCTGCTCAGAAATTGCATTAATTGTTTTTGAAGAAAAATCTTTTAAGCTTTTGTGTGACCTTAACAAAGCTACAAAATTTTATGGAAGTGGGAGTGTGAATGAATACCCCATTTATAAATGATGTAATTTAGTGAGAAATGACAAAGTTATATCCATAAAGAAGTTATGAAATAATTGTGTTGATCAGTTAAAATGAAACAAGCAAATAGATTTCTACCTTATAAAAATAAAACATTTCTTTTAAAGCTATGAGGGAGAGACAATACGAGGTCTTTACGAAGGTGTAGGAACTGCCCATTTCCAAGGAGGTCATGTTTACCAAGTGAGTGGAATTCTGCTTTCAGCTCTTTTCTTGTTCAGCATTTGCCTTTACAGTAGAAGTTTGAGTTCTCTGTCTGATCATTATTGCTAAAGAATTTTCTTTTGGAATGTGTATGGTCGAAGGAGCTAAGATATATAGACCCAATTTTCATTCCTGGGCTCGATAAACAAAATTGGGAGAAACTTCTTCTCTGCAAACTCAAATGTTATGAATGGCTACAAAAGCAGTTGGAGCTGTCCATCAATAGACAGTAAAGACTCCAAAATTCAGTTTCAGTGCATGCATAATCTATTTTCTGACCCTCAGTCCCATCCCTACAAAAATGGTAAATGCTGAGACTGGAGTGGGGGGGCAGGATTTAGGATTCTTAACTTTCAGCATTTTTGCCATAGCAGAGACATTGTCTGTCAAGGCAAAAATTGAGGCCTTAGATGCAGGGGTAGGCGAAGAGCTCTTTGACCTCCTCTGCCATTCAATAAGATTGACTAAACATCACCTCAATTCCTCTTACCTGTCCAATTCCCATATCCCAGTATTCCTTTTTTGCTCAAAAGTTGACTAATCTCCTGGTAGCTCAGTGGTTAGCACTGCGGCCTGACAGTGCCAGGGACCCGGGTTTGATTCCAGCCTCGGGCGACTGTCTGTGTGGAGTTTGCACATTCTCCCTGTGTCTGCGTGGGTTTCCTCCAGGTGCTCTGGTTTCCTCCCACAGTCCAAAGATGTGCAGGCTAGGTGAATTGGCCATGCTAAATTGCCCATAGGGATGTGTAGATTAGGTGGGTTATAGGGGAATGAGTCTGAGTGGGATGCTCTGAGGTTTGGTGTGGACTTGTTGGGCCAAAGGGCCCATTTCCACACTGTAGGGATTCTATAAAAAAAAATTATAAGATGCTCATTTATTTAGTATTCATGCATATCTGGGATATTGAATTCCATACGATCCTTTGAGTGAAGAAATCTCTCCTCATCTCAGCCAAAAATGTCAAACCTGTATCCTGAGACTATGGTTCGATTTTCATATCAAACTCAGGAATTCGAACACCTAGAAAAATTCCATTTCTTGACTCCACACTTCAAGTGACTTTATTATTAAATGTTAGAGAGAATAAACAATTAGAAAAAAAAATTAAAGCTTAGAAATAAAAATGTAAGATAAGTAGAACATTGTGGTATGAAGAACATTGAAAGACAATATAAAATAGGAGATAAAATACAAAGAAGAGTGCAGGAGCAGAGGTACCTGCACAGATCATTGAAAGTGGCAGAACAGGTCAAAAGAGCAGCAAGTAAAACATACAGTATTCTCAACTTTTTTACGGGGACATAGAGTATAAGAGCAAGGAAGCAATGTTGAGTTTATATAAGACACTGTTAGGAAGAAGAAACATTACTAAGGGGAGAACTGTTAAATAAGAGCCCATAGTATTAGGGGGCAAGCTACAGGCATGGATAGAGGCTTGGCTGACTAGCAGAAAGCAGAGTGGGGCTAAAGAGGTTGTTTTCAGGATGGCAGCCGGTGATTAGTGGAGTTCCACAGGGGCCAGTGTTGTGACCACAACTTTTCACATTTATACGTTAATATTCTGGACAAAGGAACTAAGGGTATTATTCGAATCAGAGATAGTAGGAACTGCAGATGCTGGAGAATCCGAGACAACAAGGTGCAGGGCTGGATGAACACAGCAGGCCAAGCAGCATCATAGGAGCAGGGAGGCTGACGTTTCGGGCCTAGACCCTTCATCAGAAAAGGGGGAGGGGAAGGGGGTTTTGAAATAAATAGGGAGAGAGTGGGAGGCGGATAGAAGAGGGATAGAGGAGAGGATAGGTGGAGAGGAAACAGATCCTTCAGAAGCGTTTCTCCCTGCGACTCCTGAAACACACACTTGCAGCAATGCGCCGGCATCTCCAGGCACTACAATCAAGCCTACCCCAGCTCAGAGCCTCCCTCTCCCAGACCTGCAAAGGACCTCTCCTGTTTTTTATTCTACGTAGGATCCACAACCTGAACTCCCAATTCTACTCAGCTTTATTGGACACTAAAAACCGTAAGTACAGTAAACTTACTGGTGCCTACCACCCAAAACGGGCTTCCTCCACCCCCCAAATCCCCAGCCGTACCCAGGACCTTCCCCACAATGGGTCCGCCGCCATTGGCCATGAGGCCACTATCGGAGAACCCACAGATGACGTCACATCCGCCACCGCCGGGTTCCCCACTTCCGGGACAGCAAACACCATCGCTGCCGTTGCCGCCGACACTGAAGTCGCGACCACCCTCACCGCTACTGCCGCCGCCTACCCCGCTCCTCCTACCTCCGACGCCGGTCCGCCCATCACCGACGCGGACGCAACTCCACCCACCGCCGGCGCAACTCCGCCACCGCCGACACCGGCACAACTCCGCCCACCGCCGACGCAGCTCCGCCCACAGCCGACGCCGACACAGCTCCGCCCACAGCCAGCAGCTCCAGAGGAGACAGCAGCACCCAGCCCTGCCGAGTCTTCACCATCCCCCCAGACCTACCCCTTACTGAGGACGAACGGTCAGTCCTCAGTAAAGGGCTCACCTTTGTCCCCCTCCACCCACAGATCAACGAATACCGCTCACGCATGGACATAGAGCAGTTTTTCCGCCGCCTCCGCCTCCACGCTTACTTCTTTAACCGTGAACCTAACCCTCCCTCTACTGACCCCTTCTCCCGCTTCCAACACACCCCCTCCTCCTGGACACCACCCCAAGGCCTCCTACCCTCCCTCGACCTCTTCATCTCCGACTGCCGTCGAGACATCAATCGCCTCAACCTCTCCACCCCTCTCACCCAGTCCAACCTCTCCCCCGCAGAACGTGCAGCCCTCCGCTCCAATCCCAACCTCACCATAAAACCCGCGGACAAGGGAGGTGCAGTTGTAGTATGGCGCACTGACCTCTACATCGCCGAGGCCGGACGCCAACTCTCCGACACCTCCTCCTACCGCCCCCTTGATCATGACCCCACCCCTGAGCACCAAACCATCATCTCGCAAACCATCCACAACCTCATCACCTCAGGTGACCTCCCACCCACGGCCTCCAACCTCATCGTTCCCCAACCTCGCACTGCCCGCTTCTATCTCCTTCCCAAAATCCACAAACCTGAATGCCCTGGTCGACCCATTGTCTCCGCCTGCTCCTGCCCCACCGAACTGATCTCCAACTATCTCGACTCCATTTTCTCCCCCTTGGTCCAGGAACTCCCTACCTATGTCCGTGACACCACCCACGCCCTCCACCTCCTCCAGAACTTCCAATTCCCCGGTCCCCAACACCTCATCTTTACCATGGACGTCCAGTCCCTCTACACCTGCATTCCCCATGCAGATGGCCTTAAGGCCCTCCGCTTCTTCCTGTCCCGCAGGCCCGACCAGTCCCCCTCCACTGACACCCTTATCCGCTTAGCCGAACTCGTCCTCACACTCAACAACTTCTCTTTCAATTCCTCCCACTTCCTACAGACAAAGGGGGTAGCCATGGGTACCCGCATGGGCCCAAGCTACGCCTGCCTCTTTGTAGGTTACGTGGAACAATCCCTCTTCCGTACCTACACCGGCCCTAAACCCCACCTCTTCCTCCGTTACATTGATGACTGTATCGGCGCCGCCTCGTGCTCCCACGAGGAGCTCGAACAGTTCATACACTTCACTAACACCTTCCACCCCAACCTTAAATTTACCTGGACCATCTCTAACACCTCTCTCCCCTTCCTGGACCTCTCTGTCTCCATATCGGGCAACCACCGAGAAACCGATATTCATTTCAAGCCCACCGACTCCCACAGCTACCTAGAATACTCCTCCTCCCACCCACCTTCCTGCAAAAATGCTATCCCCTATTCCCAATTCCTTCGCCTCCGCCGCATCTGCTCCCAGGATGAGGCATTCCACTCCCGTACATCTCAGTTGTCCTCGTTTTTCAAGGACCGTAACTTCCCCTC